ACTTCTCGGTGGTGTGGAACCCAGGGCTGGGATTTTATCAGCTTTCCCACACGAAGCAGATACTCGCTGAGACACCCCTGGGGAAAAGCAGCAGCTCCCGCGGGCCATGGGGCTGGTGGTTTAGTGAAAGATGCTCCCACCTTTGCTGGGCACCCCCCAAGCTTTGCTGCCAGTATAAAAGCAGGAAAGAGGGGGAAATCTATCTGGCTTTGCGGGGCAAGGAGAGATGCTGAGTGCTGCGGGGGAAACCGAGCACCTGCCTGCAGCGGCGTGAAAACCTGGACATCTGGGGACAGTGGAGGAGGAGGAGTTTACATGGAGCTCCAGGAGACCTGGATCTGTTCCTAATGGGGCTGCTAACGGCCTCAGGGACCTTTCGCAGGTCACTTTCCCCTCCTACTGCCTTGGTTTCCTCAGCTGTAAATATGAGAAGCTGCAGCAACGCCAGCCACCTTGGGAGGGTGTCGCAAGGCTCAAGTGATCAGTGACCATCACGCATTGAGGATCTCAGGTGGAAGACGCTGTTGATCTGCAAAGCTACAGCTGATCACCACTGACAGAACTGGTTTTTTACTCTTAGGTTGAGCTGTCTTTCCAAGAACACTTTGCACATGGCAGCCCCTGGCCTGCAAGCAGCTCTGCGGACACAGAGAAGTCTCACGGGACACCGGGAATCTGCTGGTGTGGAGCCAAACGCGAGACCTGGTTCTATACGTGTACACAGCACTGCCGAAATGCAGCCGCTTTGCGTGGCCACGGTGCTCGGTGCCCAGTGACATTGCAGCAAATCCTGCCACAAAGATGCCCTGGGATCTCTCAGGGTTGGGAATGCAGTCCTAACGGCACGGAGCCCCCCTCCGCCGTAACGCTGCCCTGTTTCCAGCGCCCGGCTGAGCTGCCATGCCACACGACTGCCCGACACTGAACGTGGAGCCCCGCGGTGCCCGCTCAGACCCGCAGCGGGGCAGAGCCGGGGGAAGGCAGGGGGCTCAGCGTGCCCTTACGGTGCCGACAGGCCGGCCTGGCTCCGGGGTCTGTCACCAGAGACGCGTCCCTGTCACGCCGGGTGTGAGGGGGTCAGGGACACCATAGCGGCCAGGCCCCCTCAGGGGATCGGGCCCTCCCAAGGCGGTTACCCCCAAGAGGATCAGGTCTCCCCGAGGCAGTGGGTCCCCCCCAGGGAATGTGGGTCCCCCCCCGGGGGATCGGGGTCCCCAAGGCGGCAGGGACACCCGCCCTGG